ACCTCACTACCATGGAAGACTTCTTTTTTCCTAACTCCCTCGGGGCTCTGAAGGGAAGATAGAGCACAGGCTAGCCCCCGCTCAACTTTCCACATGTCAACGTTGGGGTCTAGACAGTCTTAACTTGTTCCAAACACAGTTTTTAAAGATATATTTATATATATATATGTATGTATGTATGTATGTATGTATGTATGTGTGTGTATGTATGTATCTACCTCCCTATCATCTATCTATGTATCTATATCTATCTGTCTGTCTGTCTATCTATCTATCATCTATCTATCTATCAATCTATCTATCATCTATCTATCTATCAATCTATCTATCTGTCTACCTATCCTCTATTTATTTATGTATTGTATTTGTAGGTACCATGTGTAGCAGCCTGCAATGTAGATCAGAAGACACTTCCACCCATAGGTCTTCTCCGTTCACCATGGGGAGCCCTGGGAACTCAATTCAGGTTGCCAGGCTCAGTGGCAAGTGCCTGCCTTTCCTTCTAAGCCATCGCGCCAGTCCCACGTGCACTTTTTTTCACCCCTACAGTTCCCAGGTTCAGAATGAGATTTGCCGTTCATGTTAAGCGAATGTGCTACCACTGAGCTGTATTCCTAGCCATCTGGACTTGCCCTTTATCTACTCAGATGCCCAACATCTGGCAACCCCTACAGGGTAAGTGCCGTCAGAAGGGGCTAAGACACTTGCTTCTCATGGGCCTAGAGACCACTGCGTGCTTTTGCCTTTTGCCCATAGCCCATGACCTTTGGTCACTAGAAAAATACTCTCAGAGCTCTCTCTATTGCTCTCTGATACTGTTTAGTTAAAAAACACATCTATACTCAAAACAAAACAAAACCAAAAAAGCTATCTATCTAAATGTCTTCTGCCACAGTCTGTGGACAGAGAGACACCAGTTTACAGGAAGAGAGTGAGCAGCAAGTCAACGGAGTTCCTTCTCTCAAAGCCAACTTCTCTTTTTAGAACAGCCTTGCCACAAGTCCTAACCCTTTGCACACATTCCCGAAACTCCCCCAGTGAGAAATGACACATTCGGGGGAGGGGTGGGGGGGACTAAAAAATAAGCAGGGTCAGCCTGGCTCAGAGGTGGGGGCTGTTGGCAGGGGTGGTCATGACACAGAGTGGTAGTGGGATTAGTCATCCTGCTCTCGAACACAGACCCTGACTACAGCTCCTGGTTCCAGGGGTTTTATTTGTTTACATTAATTTTCCGGAAACTGAAGAGCGATGTGCAGATGTCATGGGAGTCTGTGACACTGATGTTTCCTAGCTGCGTTGCCTGAAACATCTCACTAGACATGTACTCCTTTTCGGTACAAAGAGGTGACAACATAACGCACTAAGACTTAAAGGAGGCAAACAGTTCAGCGGCTTCCAATGCCTGCTCTGCTCTCACCTGACGCTTTGGTTTCTAGAACGTGGTTGTACCCTTAGGCCCTCCATAGCCACAGTGAGTAACATGGTGAGGACTAGAGAGGCAGAAGAGAGATGAGGAGGAGCCTTGCAGGGGACTGAGTTGTGGCTGTTCCCAAATGCCATCATTTCCTGGGTGTACCGAGCCTGATGATATCTTCTGAGGTTCTCTGTATTCTTTCTGTCACAATTGGGACTTAGTCACCCAAATCTTACCCATCTGGGTGCTGGGTCACACGGGTCCAACATCACTGAGGGCAATTAGTCAGGAGTATTCCCCTACCTCGATCCTGGAGTGTGAGGTCCCAGAGAAAGGGAATGGGTCAGAAATGAGGACCTACTGCAAACAAGAATTTGACCTTTCCCCCATCCCTGTACCTTCCTCACTGTGCATCAAGAATGTGCTGGTTCTTCCTCATCGTTACAGTGGTGAGTGTCCCCACACGTCACCCGGGGTGCAGGGGGCTGACTCTGATGGGGAGACAATGGATGCAGTGTTAGCCGGGGATGGTGGTGGTGCATCCCTGTAATCCCAGAGTTCCAGGCCAACCCCGGCTACATAGTGAGACCTTGTCTCAAAGAAAACAAACCCTGAGGAAGGGCTGGAACAAAACTCAAGAGTTTGTGTGGTGTGCAGAAGAGTGCGTGTTAGAGAACCAGGTAACGGGCCAGTTAGGTCCTCCGTGGCCACGCTCAAGCTTCCCTTGCTCAAACCGCCCTCTCCTCTCATAACACAAACCTGAGTTACATCCCTGGAATCCACAGTGGAAGGGCAGAATGGACCCCTGAAAGCTGTCCTCTGACCTCCACCTGCTTCCCCCCCGCCACATACACACACGTAACTAAATGTGATTTTAAATAAAAAAATGAATATCTAGATAAACAAAACAAAAAGCTAGGGTGGCGGTTCAGGTAGCCTCAGGACTTTGGAGGTCACAGCGGATCATTTGAGCCCTGACCTTTAGGGCCAGGCTAAGCAACACTTCAAGCCCTGCCTCCCTCCCTTTTAAAATTAAAACATCTGTATGTAGATGGAGTTTCTCTGTGTCTGGTCAGTCACTCCCAAATAACCACATAGAGCCCTAGTATTAATTATAAATGCTGGGTCGATAGCTCAAGCTTATTGCTAACTAGCTCTTATGACTTAAATTAACCCATTTCTATTGATCTACATTCTGCCATGTGGAGTTACCTCTCTTTCTTCTGTTTCTTCCCGGTGTCTCCTTGGCGTTGGCGACTTCTCTGACTCCACCCTTCTTCTTCCCAGAATTCTCTCCTCCCTGAAAATCCTGCCGAGCTATTAGCCAATCAACTTCTTTATTAAACCAACCACAGCAACGTATATTCACACAGTGTAAAGGAATATTCCACATTTATATTTTAATTTTATGTGTATGAATGTTTTGCTTGCATGTATGTCTGTGCACTTGGGTGCCTAGAGTGGTGTATTCAGGGACCAGAAGAGGGAGTTGAATCCCCTGGAGCTGGAATTATAGATGGTTATGATGTAACACGAATCTTAAAGGGTCCTTACTCATAAAAACAAACTTGGAGCCAGGTATTGGGGTGAACGCTGAAAGATCAGAGAAACAGAGCAAGCCACAGCCAACCTTACCTGGACAGTTCCTCAGCTGATCTTGTTTACTCAGCCTGAAAGTCTCTGAATCCTCATCTGAATGAATCTCAGCTGAACTGCTGCTAAAAGCTAAAAGCTTAAAAAAGGCTCTAGTTCCTGGTCCTCACGCCTTATATACCTTTCTGCTCCCTGCCATCACTTCCTGGGATGAAAGGTGTGCGTCACCATGCCTGGATTTGAACTCAGAGAGATACAGAAACATCCAGTGTGGCTTTGAACTCATAGAAATTCAGACGGATCTTTGCCTCCGGAATGCTAGGATTAAAGGCATGTGCTACCACTGCCTAAACCTATGTTTAATATAGTGGCTGTTCTGTTCTCTGACCCCCAGAGATGTTTATTGGGGTGCACAATATGCCAACCACAGTTATAAGTCACCATGTGGTGCTGGGAATTGAACCTGGGTCCTCTGAAAGAATAGTAAATGCTCTTAACCACTGAGTCATCTCTGCAGTCCCCTCCCCTTTTCCTTCCTTCCTTCCTTCCTTCCTTCCTTCCTTCCTTCCTTCCTTCCTTCCTTACTTCCTTTCTTCCTTCCTTCTTTCCTCCCTTCCTCCCTCCCTTCCTCCCTCTCTCCCTCCCTCCCTTCTTTCCCTCTCTTCCTCCCTCCCTTTCTTTCTTCCCTCCTTCACCTTTTTATTTTTTTAGACAGGCTCTCTCTTCATAGCCCTGGCCTCAGACTTGCTAGGTAGACCAAGAGGCCTCAAACTCATACAGATCTTCTTGCTTTAGCCTCCTTAGTATTGGGATTAAAGGCATGTGCCACCATGTGCCCCTGCCCCCCCCATGACTGGAATAATTCTTCCTTCACAGTAATAAAACATATAGCTTTTAATTGCTTTAATTATGTATTTAAAATTTTGAGGCAGGATTTCACAGCTAAAAGCTGGCCTAGAACTTGCTATGTAGTTAAGGATGACTTTGAACTTTTGATCTTCCTTCAACTCATAAGTGCTAATATTATGGTTCTAGGACATCCAGGGCTACACCGAGAAACCCTGTCTCCAAACCAAACCAAACCAAACCAAACAACAGCAGCAGCAACAAAACAAGTCAAAGTCGTGTGCTTGTGTTACACCATTTGTGTGCGGCATTGTGGGGGAGACATCTGTGGCGGGAGCCGAACTCGGGGCCTGTCTACAAGAGCAGCAAGTTCTCTTAACTGCTGATCTGGGTCTCCAGTCCCTATAATACTTACTTTATAACCAATTTTTTTGGTAAATTTTTTTTCTTTAGCAAAAAGAGTCACAAATGTTTAAGAAGCCTCGACGCAGAGCTCAAGGTCAGCCTGGGCCGCAAAGCTAGATTCCGGCTTAAAATAAACTCCCAACTTGATCTCAGTTGCAAAGAAACAGACCTCAGAGTTGGACGTGGTGGCTCTGTGAGGTCCAGACCAGCCTGGTCTACCTAGGGAGTTCCAGACCAGCCTGGTCTACCTAGGGAGTTCCAGACCAGCCTGGTCTACCTAGGGAGTTCCAGACCAGCCTGGTCTACCTAGGGAGTTCCAGGCTGGCCAGGATTATGTAGAGAGATGCTTGCTGTCTCAAACAACAACAAACCCAGAGAGGCAGGCCTCACCTTTGACCCCTTCACTTGGAACTCATGCTGCCTCCTACCTCTTGGCTCTTATTGATTTTCCCTTGTCAGGACATGTGAAGCTGAGAGCTTTGCTGGCTCCAGGTCCCCAGGGAGCGGCAATGTCCAACTCTAGGGGGCAGCCCTGGTCCTGTCCTAGTTTCTCTAGAGATTCTGGCTTTCACCCCTCCAGGAGACAGACCCCCGAGCAGTACAGAAAGTCCTCCGGTCTCCGGCAGAGGGCTCTCGGGGAAGGAGGGTTAGGGGCTTTTTTGGCTCCTGCTTTTCTTCGGTAGGGCAGGAGTTAATGATGAGTTGCAACATCTCTGGGCTGAGTCACCTCCCACGGCACTGTTCCCCACAGATGGTTTATAAAGAGGACCAGAGGCTGACAGAGGAGACCTTGGAGGTAGGAGTCCCCTGCCCAGGGCCGCTCCTCCAGGCTCCCAGAAGTCTCAGGTCAGAGGACTCAGGCAACCGCTGGAGCTCTTGTCTGCTGGGACCATGGACTGGCAACAGTTGTGGCTGGCCTTCTTACTTCCCATGACAGTCTCAGGCCGGGCTCTGGGGCCTACAGAGAAGGAGGCAGTCTTGGTGAGTCCTCTGGATTGACAGGGATTACCACGCTATGGTCTTCTCTAGGTTTCCCTCTTGCCCTACAACCTACCCACCTCTCCCTGTTTCCTCGGCACCCTGATCTACGTTGTCCACCTCCTGCTCTCTTCCTTGTTCCATTGGAGGCCCCCCACTCACACATCAGTCCTTCCGCATCTGTCCCCTTCTCTCCTCATGGATCTGTTAGGTCATTTGGATTGTTTGTTTAAGACAGGTCCCCCTGTGTAGCCCCGCCTGGCCTGGAACTCACCCTGAAGACCAGGCTGTCCTTGAACTCACAGAGATCTGCCTGCTTCCATTTCCCGAGTGCTGGGATTAAAGGTGTGCGCCACCATGCTCTGCTTCTGTTCTGTCACTCGGAAGCTGTACCCCGAGACTAAACCTCTTTCAACCTTCGTGCCATTGTAGGGTTACCTGTTGCAGTATGGGTATCTACAGAAGCCTCTGGAAGGAGCTGATGACTTCAGGCTAGAAGATATCACAGAGGCCCTAAGGTGAGGCTCTAAGGTCACAAGGTACATGCTTTCCTATCGGAGGTGTCAAGTTCTCCCCTCTCCCAGGCTCACCTCTGCCTGACCCTAATCTACAGCAGGGATCTGTCAAATGGGATGAGATGGAGAATCGGGATGAGGAGCCCACAGATCAGGTGTGGTGGCACACAGCTGTGATCTCAGTCCTGGGGAGGCAAAGACGAGTCGGGTGTGATGGTCCATGCCTTTAGTTCCAGATTCCCGGCACTCAGGAGGCAGAGGCAGGTGGATCTCTGTGAGTGTGAGGCCAGCCTGGGCTACACAGAGAGTTCCAGGACAGCTAAAGCTATACAGTGAGACACTGCCTTAAAAAGGGAGAAGTGGAAACAATGAAATCCTGGAAGGATGGCTCAGCAGTTAAGAGTACTTGATGCTCTTACAGGGGACCATCACCAGCATCAGGAAGTTCATAGCCTCCTGTGACTCCAGCTCCGAATGATCTGATGCCTTCTTCTTTAGGCACCCAAACATATGTTAACAACATTTACTCATATAGAAACACACACAAGAATGAAAATCTTTTTTCCTCCCGGAGACAGGGTCCCTCTGGGTAGCACTGACTGTCCTGGAATTCACTCTGTAGACCAAGCTGGCCTCGAACTCAGAGATTCGCTGGCCTCTGCCTCCTACCTCCTGAGTGCTGGGATTAAAGACATGCGCCACCACCATTCAGTTAAGAACGAAAATTTTAGCAAAAGAGCTGGAGGCTAGCTTGGACCACACGATGAGTATTTATCTTTATTTTTAGTTTTTATTATTACTTTTTGATCCCGGTCTCACACTGTAGCTTAGATTGGCTTGGAACTCCTTGCAATCCTCCTGCCTCAGCCTCTACCATGCTATTATGTTAGAGGTGTGAACCACCATGCTGAGCTGGAGTTCTTGTCATTACACTTTTAGATTATTTTTGATGATTTCATACACACACACACATACACACACACACACACACACACACACACACACACACGTATATGTGCGTGTGTGTGTGTGTGTGTGTGTGTGTGTGTGTGTGTCCGTGTATTTGTGTGCATGTGTGTGTGTGTGTGCGCGCGCGTGCACATACATTGGTCATTTGCCCCATTGCTCTATCATCTCCCTTCCATTCCTCCTGAATCTCTTCCCCAAACAAGACCCTCTTCTATTTTCTCTATAATTCACTGACCTTAATTAGGGCTGCTTGTTTTACAGTTTCTTATTACATTTATTTGTATGTGTGTGTGTGTGTGTGTGTGCACGCGCACATCCCATGGTACATATTCAGAGATCCAGTTCTCTCCTTCCACCATGTGGGGCCTGGGGATTGAACTTATGTACTCAGGCTTGGCTGGGGATTGAATTTACGTACTCAGGCTTGGCAGCAAGTCCTTTAATCCACTGAGCCATCTCACTGGCCCATTTTGATGTAATTTTTTTTGGTTTATTAATTTTTATTTTATGCACATATGTATGTGTACCATGTACATGCTTAGTGCCCAAGCTGGTCAGAAGAGGGCATCCCTGCCACTGGAGTGAAGGATGGTTGTGAACTACCATGTGGATGCTGGGAATTGAACCCGGGTCCTCTGTAAAAGCAACACATTCTCTTAATGGTTGGGCCATCTCTCCAGCTCCTGGTTTTGATTTTTTGAGACAGGGTCTCGTGTAGCCCAGGCTGGTCCTGAACCTGCGATGTAGTGAGTGAGGTTCATCCTCACTCCTGCATCATTCTCGAAAGTGCTGGGATCACAGGATGAGCCACCATGCACACCTAGCCAGTCCTTGTCTCAAAAACAAAGCAAATGAGGCTGGGGAGATGACTCAGTGGTTGCGATCACTGTCTGCTCTTGTAGAGGACCCAGGTTTGGTTCCAAGCACCCGCATGGCATCTCACAACTATCTATGACTCCAGTTCAAGGGGATCCAACGCTCTTTCCTGACCTCTGTAGGCAGGACACACATGTGGTATACTTACATACATGCAGAGGAAACATTGAATCACATAAAATAAGAATAAATCTTAAAAATAAAAACAAACCCAAACAGCTAGACACGTGGCTCACATCTTTAATTCCTGTGCTCAGGAGGCTAAGGAAGGAGGATTGCCGTGAATTTAAGGCCAGCCTGGATTACAAAGTGAGTTTGAGGCCAGCCTAGGCTATAGAGTGAGTGAGACCTTGCCTGGAAAGACAAACAAAGAAAAGGAGAAACAGGGCCAGTGGATCCTCCAAGGCCCGGAGCACTCCTTTGGATGCTCACACTGACATTTGCAGCCCACAGGGGGCGCCACATGCATAAAGCTACAGATTGACTCGCTATGATGTTCCCTTTTGTGGACGCTTCATTCATTGTTTATTTATTTCTACTCTGTTCCTTTACATTTTGCTGTTTTTTGCCACTGTATTTTTTTTTTTTTTTTATGGTCCTACGACAGAAGACCCTATGACAGGCCATGGGTGGGCGAGGTTGCCCCAGTGCAGGCTGGGAGGAGAGCCCAGCGGGCTGAAGTGGGTAGGTTGGACCTCAGAGGGCAGCACAGCAGCTGTACAGGGACACTCTCCAGAGGGTGGCCACGGGGTGAGCCGGGTTGCTCACCTGCTAGAGCCGAAAGCTAGAAAGTGAGGAAGGAGAGGGAGAGGAAGGCTTCAGGTCAGTCTTCCAAAAAGATCCCGAAAATGGAGCAATGAAGGTGGAGTGCCACCATGTCTGCAGACTAGAAGACAAAGCCCCAGTTGTGAGCACTAGAGACTGGAGTGTCCTTTCCAGCTTCAAAGACCTTGTGTCATTCTTTATCACTACTTCGGGCACCAGGAGGCCAAAGATGCATCCCCAATTTCCAGCCATTCCAGACCCACCTGCCCTTGTGCACCGGCCTCTCTCTCTTTCTAGAGCTTTCCAGGAAGCATCCGAGCTGCCGGTTTCAGGCCAGATGGATGACGACACAAGGGCCCGTATGAAGCAGCCCCGTTGTGGTCTGGAGGATCCCTTCAACCAGAAGACCCTTAAATACCTGCTTCTGGGTGAGGACTGAGCCTGGGAAGGGAGGGAGAGGGCTGCCTGGCCCTGAGTGTGGGTAATACTTGCTGAGTAACCTGCCATGGAGGGCAGCGAGTACCCTCACCCTGGGCGGCTCTCTTAGTTGTGTTTCTGACTTACTTTCTGGTCCCTTCACCAGGCCGCTGGAGAAAGAAGCATTTGACATACCGCATCTTGAATCTGCCCTCCACCCTCTCACCCTCCAGAGCCCAGGCAGCCCTGCGTCAAGCCTTTAAGTACTGGAGCAGCGTGGCCCCCCTGACCTTCCGGGAGGTGAAGGCTGGTTGGGCTGATATCCGCCTCTCGTTCCATGGCCGCCAAAGCCCATACTGTTCCAACACCTTTGATGGGCCTGGTAGGCACTAGTTCTTTTTTTTTTTTTTTTTTTTGTGATATATATTTTTTATTTTACAACATCATTCAGTTCTACATATCAGCCATGGGTTCCCCTATTCTCCCCCCTCCCACGCCTCCCCTTACCCCCAGCCCACCCTCCATTCCCACCTCCTCCAGGACAAGTCCTCCCCCGAGGACTGCGATCAACCTGGTAGACTCAGTCCAGGCAGGTCCAGTCCCTTCCTCCCAGACTAAGCCAAGCGTCCCTGCATAAGCTCCAGGTTTCAGACAGCCAACTCATGCAATGAGCACAGGACTTGGTCCCACTGCCTAGATGCCTCCCAAACTGATCAAGCCAATCAACTGTCTCACCTATTCAGAGGGCCTGATCCAGCTGGGAGCCCCTCAGCCTTTGGGTCATAGTTCATGTGTTTCCATTCATTTGGCTATTTTTTTTTCAATAATTGAGTAAAACTGAAATTTATTATATGCCACAGTCATCCTAGGGACCTCCATGCTATATATATATAGCCTCTATGGTTCTATGGGTTGTGGTCTGATTGTTCTTTATTTTATATCTAGAATCCACCAATGAGTGAGTACATACTATAACTGTCTTTCTGGGTTTGGGTTACCTCACTCAGGATGATTTTTTCTAGTTCCATCCATTAGGCACTAGTTCTTGACTTTCAACAGACCTCAGCAATAAACTGTCTCTTTGACCCAGTGACGCTAAGATCTTCAGGTTCAGATTGTCGGTTCTGCCCAAAGATACCCTGTACTCTGACCTTCTACTATTTCCCAGAGAAGCTGTTTCTTGCCTAGCCAGGCCCTTAGTAGCTCTCCTCTTTCCGTCTTATGCCTGGCTTTCATTTCCTCTCTCAAACCTAACCCTGAGAGGGGACTGGGTCACAGAGGAGTGGCTGGGGAGGTGAAGATTTTGTTTTGGGTTTCCCTGAGTGATGACTAGGAAATCGGGAAGAAGCACCTGAGCTAGCTATGATGGTGTACCCTGCGTTTTGTGTAGCCCAGGCTGACATGAAACCCGTTACGCAGCTGAGGCTGATCTTGAACTTCTGATCCTCCCGTGTCCACCTTCCAAGTGCTGGGATTACCGGTGTGTTATCACATCTGAACGTAGCTTGAGTACGTAGTCGGCAAACGATGCTCTGTCGGCTCTAACCTTACTGTCTACCTTTGCTTTTGCCCAGGAAAGGTCCTGGCCCATGCGGACATCCCAGAGCTCGGCAGTGTACACTTCGATAAAGATGAATTCTGGACTGAGGGGACCTACCAAGGAGTGAACCTGCGCATCATCGCAGCCCATGAAGTGGGCCATGCCTTGGGCCTTGGGCACTCCCGATACACTCAGGCGCTTATGGCTCCTGTCTATGCTGGTTACCAACCCTACTTCAGGCTGCACCCAGATGATGTGGCAGGGATCCAGGCTCTCTATGGTGAGCATGAGAGTCAATCTGACTAATATCTCTCTAGGCTCAAGGAGACAAGAGCTGCTTTCATGGAGTAAAATGGCTTTTTTTTTTCTTCTCTTCCTCTGCCCAGTTCTTCAAGCTATTCATCTTCAAAAACTGTCTCTATTTTTGACTCTTTTATGTCTAATCTCCCTTCCTGGACTTTCTTCCCTCACACCCTACCTAATTCTTTTGTTGTTATTGTTGCCTGTTGCTTTGAGACAGGGTCTTTATTATCCTGCTCTAGCTGTCCTGGAACTTGCTATGTAGTCCAGGCTGTATTCAAACTCATGGAGACCCTTCTGTCTCTACATCCCTAGTGCTGGGATTAAAGGTGTCTGGCAACCCCATTCTTGAAGATGCAGAACATACATTCCAGGAAACTTCCTTCTCTCTGGTGCTTCTCAAAACAAAACTGTATCTTCTGTATTTTGTGGACCACAAAGGGAAACTCCTTAGAATTGCCTTTTCCATCTCCATGGGGCCATTGAGCAGAACTTAACAGCAGACAGGTAGAGAAGCTGAGTGCATTGCCTTACTTCACTTTGCAGGCAAGAAGAGCCCAGAGACAGAGGATGAGGAGGAAGAGATTTCCACCATGTCACCAGTGACCACAAAACCCAGTCCCATGCCAAACCCCTGCAACAGTGAACTGGATGCCATGATGCTGGGTGAGGCCCTTCCCGAGCAGGCTGCTGACAGGCAATGGGGGCAGTCTATTGACTCCAAGGCCTGGACAGATGGGAATGATGTGGGACCAAAGCAGGAGCAAAGGCTGGTGACCAGGGAAGATGTGTAGCATGGGGAGGGAATGCTCAGAGTCAAATTAAAAGAGGGCTGGGTGGCTGGGCAGTGGTGGTCCACGCCCTTAATCTCAGTGCTTAGGAGGCAGAGGCAGGTGAATTTCTGTGAGTTCGAGGTCAGCCAGGACTGTGAGAAACTCTGTCTCAAAAAACAAAAAACAAACAAAAAAGATGGAATTGGCTGCAATGTCTATTAGAGAGGATTTTATTTGTACCTGGTTTTAAGATTTTAAAGCTACCTGGGATGGGGACTAGCTCTCCAAGGAGGAACATCTGACTACCTGGAGGGCTGTGAGGAAGGGAGAGGCTCAGCACTGTGTCTTCCTTCTCTGCCGTTTTTTGAAGTTGAGTGAATTTCTGAAGGGCCCATCAGTGGCCAGTACGGAAACCACCTGAGACATTCATGAGTCACTCATTATCTTTTAAGCTTGTTAAAACGCTTCTGCTCTCAGGACCCCGTGGGAAGACCTATGCTTTCAAGGGGGACTACGTGTGGACTGTAACAGATTCAGGTCCGGGCCCCTTGTTCCGAGTGTCTGCTCTTTGGGAGGGGCTCCCTGGAAACCTAGATGCTGCCGTCTACTCTCCTAGAACAGGATGGACCCATTTCTTCAAGGGTAAGTGGAGTACTTAGGTCCTGCTTAAGGTCATTAAAAAGCTGAAAACGGGAGGAAGCATCGAGAAGCTTCTGAGAGGGTGAGAGAGGGACCAAAAGCTCCCGTCGGATGACAGAGGCAACTTGTTCTCCCTTTGGCCGTTCTCAGGGAACAAGGTGTGGCGCTATGTGGGTTTCAAGATGTCTCCTGGCTTTCCCATGAAACTCAACAGAGTAGAACCCAACCTGGATGCAGCGCTCTACTGGCCTGTCAATAAGAAGGTGTTCCTTTTTAAGGTATAACCAAGCCAGCCAATGGGGCAAAGTCTCACCCTTACAGGGGCACCTTCTGCAGTTTGGATCAGCCTCTGAGGTCCCTACGCTATCTCATTCTCTTCTTCTCACCCACTCCAAATCAGGGCTCAGGATACTGGCAGTGGGACGAGCTGGCCAGCACTGACTTCAGCCGCTACCCCAAACCCATCAAGGCATTGTTTACTGGAGTGCCAGACCAACCCTCGGCAGCTATGAGCTGGCAAGATGGCCAAGTCTACTTCTCCAAGGGCAAAGACTACTGGCGTCTTAACCAGCAGCTTCGAGTGGCAAAGGGTTATCCCAGAAATATCACACACTGGATGCACTGCCGCCCTCAGACTGCAGACACTAACTCGTTCACTGGGGACACTACTCCCCCCACCACAGACACGATCTTAGACACCACTCCCTCAACCGTGGACTCATTCTTGGACATGGCTCCCTCAACTACAGACTCTGCCACCCTTTCATCCCCTGCTAATGTCACCCCGCTAGGGGCCTAAGAACTAATCAGTGTTATCTGATCACGAGGATGGTGCAGACGTCACAGCATTGGCACTAACCATAGGCCTCATGGCCCCTAAACATTCCAGTTCTGGACACCGTTTTCCTGTGCTCCTAGAAGGTGCCCCCTTAATTCTAAATTAGTCCCACATTCCCATTTCTCCTTGTCACAAAGCTCTTTCAAGTGTGCCACCTATTCTCCAGTGAAGTGAAACTGTCAATCAGGCTTTTTTTTTTTTTTTTTTTTTTTTTTTGTGACAAGGTCTCTCTCTACATAGCACTGGCTATGGCTATCCTGAAATACTCTATGTAGACCAGGCTGGCCTCGGACTCACAGAGATCCGCCTGCCTCTGCCTCGAGTGCTGGGATTAAAGGCGTGCGCCACCATGCCTGGCTAGTGTTCTTTTATATTTTTATTTTTGTGTGCATTCGTGTTTTGTTGTACGTGTGCCCATGTGAGGGTGTCAGATCCTCGGGAACGGGAGTTCCACATGGGTGTGAGCTGCCATGTGGGTGCTGGGAATTGAACCCAGGTCCTTTGGAAGAGCAGCCAGTGCCCTTCACCGCTGAGCCATCTCTCCAGCCCCTGTGTTCTGTGTTTCTTTTTTAAGGCACTGTGACCATGCCTGGCTGTCAGTTGGGTCCTGAGCTGACAGGAGGCGGTGGCTGGGTCACTGGACGCCTGGGTTCTGTTCTTCCCAGGCAAACTGAAGAAACAGCACAGCAGGGTAAACTGAGCAAGGGCTTCGGAGTCCCTGAGCCGCTGGACGGCGGCTCCCAGCAGGTTAATTACCCTTGTAAAGCCTTGGATTCTCTATTAACAAAATAAGGTTAATATCAACGTTACAGGGTTGCTAGGTTATATGAAATACTATATGTGACGTGTCTGACGGAGTCTGACACATTTGTATTTAATAAAGGCTAACTTCGTGTATATTCATATATATATATATGTATCATACGTATATACGCATCCCATACACAGTGTGTATGATAAAGGTGCCACAGCAGATCTTTGGGGGACAGACTGCCTTTGCTTTGTGGCGCAAAGAAAGTGAAAAGCGACAGTTGAAGTTCGACTCCCCGGTTGAATTTTCAGCGCCATTTTATTCCCGTGATCCCTTGTTCTTCCTCCCTCTCATCACAGAGTTGCTGCTCGGGAAGGGGAGGGTTAGTCTTCCTTCATACTGTCCGGGAGGCCAGGAGAGTCGGAGGAGGGAGAGTTAGAAGGGGTTAGTGGCTGGACCCAAACTCTGGCTGGGGAGGAAACTGGTATCACCTACACCGAGAGTGAGAGAAGGCACTTGACTGCCGCGCAGACCCAAAGCCCAGGTCCCTCTGAGCAAAGAGGCAAGCGTCAGCCACGTGAGCCAAGGCTCTCTTGGAGCAAGGGGCCAGCTTTTGGAGAGAGGGGAGTTGAGGCAGACTCTGGGGTCCTCCCTCATTGAAGAGAGAGGAGAAAGCACCATGGAGGATTGTGCTCTCCACTGAGGTAGAGGGGACTCCAGACTATGGGGTCCATGGAGAAAGGCCGAGCAGAAGCCCAGTTACCCCTAATAAGGAGCCTGGGGGCTGGGGATCTTGGAGTACCTCTGTGCCATTCTCCATACCAATAAAACTTATCAAATGCCTTCGGGAGCTCCCCAATTTTCTATAGGTCCTATAAAAAAGCCCCATATTTTACCACAGTAAGGCACACTGAGACATGTTAATGGATATTTGGGAATGGACTATAATTCAGTGGTAGAATGCTTGCCTACTATGGGCAACATTCTGGGTTCCATTTCAGCATTACAGGAACTTACGGAAAAAAAACCTGTTTTGGGTAAACCACCTGGGTTTGGAGTCAGTGTCCCTAGGAGCCAGGGCGTCTCTACTACTGGACAGAGAGGTAGGTGCCTGTGCTTTCACTCTCCCGCATCTGTAAGAATTCTCTCTGCCTGTCTCTAAGCACGGAGCCCATCCCCAATCCAAGAGGTAGGGAAATTTGTGTGGGTCCCGTGGGCTCAGGCCCCATCCACTTGGCCGTTTCCAGCCCTCACTAGGGTTGTCAGTATCTCTGGAGGTTTAGGCTCAGGTCTGGGCAGAGGGAGAAGGTGTGGCCAGGAGGCGGGTGGAACTGCAGTCAGAATCCAGGTCCAGGGTAGTGTGGGGGGCTGTGGCCTGGGTGCTCGGCTCCAGCTGGCACTCACGCAGACTCTGGAGATAACTCTGAGTGGACACAGGGCAGAGAGGGTAGAAGGGGGTTCTGAGTCGGAGCCCTCAGCTCATCCTGGCCATCACTGTTCGCCCTCTGACCCATCCTGCCCAGGGTGCCCCACCCTCCCACTCACTGGAGCCAGCCTGTCACCAGGGCTCTGGATATTGGGGGGAAGCCGACTCCGATAGCTGCCTTGGCACAGTCCCACTCCAGACGGGTTCCGATGCCGCTTAGCCTCTTGCTGATGGATCCGGAGGAGCTGGAGATGCCTTCGCTGGTGGCTCAAGATCACTGTTGGGCAGCAGGCAATACAGAGTCAAGGGGAGCTTTTTAAGGTCCTGAATACCAACTCCAAACAGAATCAAATTCCATAAAAACCCACTTGGCCTCCCTGTTGTGGACTTCTCAAGCCCCAACTTCCCTTCAGTTATTAGATTTCTTCCGTATTTTCCTCCTCTGGGATTCCTCCACCCTCTCATAACAGTCCTAAAAAACTCTGCCCTGTATCCCTTGGCATTTTTTTCTTCCTATTCTTTCCAGACTTCCTCTGGTTATTCCAGCTTTAATTCTGCTTCAGGGCCGCTCTGTTTGGCATGGGAGTCCTCCCCAGTCCTCATCTCTCAATCTTCTCCCCTCCCCTCCAGTGCAGGAATCTGGGACAGTAGTAGGGGCAGGATGGCTGCTTTTGTACCTCAGCAGTAACTCACCATTGGTGTGGCTTCCACGTTCCTCAGTCATGAGTCTCCACTGGGCCAGTGTCCCAAGAGCCCCCAAGATCGGCCAGGTCCCCAGTAAGACCCAGCTATACCAGCAAAGAGGCAGCAACTCCGGGAGGGCCTGCAGGCGTTCGCCCAGCCGAGTGCCCAGGGCCAGCCCTTCCAAGAAGTAGTCAGCACAGGCCACCAGCACCGCAGCACCTAGCAGGGCTGTGCCTAGGACCGTGAACGGCCGGGGCCACCGAAGCGTGAGCAGGGCTCCCAGCAGCGCCAGCCCCACCAGTCCACCGACTGGCACCCAGGCCGAATGTGGCTGGTAGATGGGTTCAGTGCCCAGTAAGGTTCCAGCGCCCAGGGTTAGACCTAGCAGGAGACCGGTCAGAAAGAGCCCAACGCTTCGGACCAGCATGGTGACCAGGCCGCAGAGGAGTCCGATGCCCAGCGAGATGCCTGCGCTCACCTCCAGGCTCAACTGTGTCTCCAGGACCCGCTCCTTGTGGCACAGTAGGAAGATCACCAGAGCTCCTGACAGCAGACCGGAGAGAAACATCACTGCCTTGAAGCAGCGGTAGCCTGGGAAGGGAGGCAGGAGGCACTGAGAGACAGAAAGGGACGGTTCTGGTGTACTGGGAAAGGAACAGCTAAACAAAGGAGTAGAAGCCAGGAGGAGCATACCATGGGGGACCTCCAGGCAAGGGGAAGAAAAGGATAAGCCCAGAAACAGACAAAGAACATTCAAGGCTGGGCGGTGTGTCAGCACTCGGGAGGCAGAGCCAGGAGGATCTCTGTGAGTTCGGGGCCAGCCTGGGCTACAGAGCGACATCCAGGACAGGCACCAAAACTTGAAAAAAAAAAGAACATTCAGAAACTCCCCAAGGGGTTGGTGGAGAAACCAGGAGGCAGAGTGAATGCATTGTGGAGAGAAAACAGGACAACATCTAGCTCCTCCTCCAGGAACGGGGTACATAGGAAATCACCACAGACTGATTTGTGATTCCGAGGAAAGTTGAAATCTCCTGTGGGGAGGATATCTGGGGATGGCACTTTGAGGTAGGAGACAAATAAAGGCAGATCACAGAGCCAGAGGTGAAAGCCAGAGGGCAGGAGCAAGCAGAAGGACAGGAAGCCGGCAGAGGCCGTATGGAAAACCCCGAGGGCAGGCATCTCCGGACAGAGGAGGTGAAGTGTACCCGAACAAGGAAGAAGTTGGAATCACTCTTGAGGACAAGCAGTCTCAGGTGGCTGCCCCCAGGCCCCGCCCCCAGGCCCCGCCCCCCAGGCCCCGCCCCCCAGGCCCCGCCCTCACCGAAGCAGCCGTAGATGATTCCGAAGCAGCAGCACAGAGCACAGACTAAGGCAGGGGCCAACTCAAGGCTGTCCTGGGGTTCCAAGACGCACCTCAGGTCGGGAGGCTCTGGGAGCTGTTGGTTAAAGGGCCTTGGGTCAGATGTTATGGTCAGGGGCAGCAAGGCTTTCTCCATGGTAGCCGGGGAGATGGTCACAGGGTGGGAGGCTGGAGTCAGCGTCTCTCATCCACCCATCACTATCTGGCGCGGGGGTCGGTAGACCTGGAAGAGAACAGAGCAGAAACCATGAGGATCTTGAGGATTCCGTCGTCCCTCCATTTCTTTTGAAAAAAAAAAAAATGACCTGTTCCAACTAAAAAGCAACTCCCCCTCATCTGCAGTTGGGACTCAGTACCCCCCCACACCCCCACCCCCGCCGAATCGGACAGGGCAGTGTAATGAAATGGGAGAGGAAGGAAGAGGAGGCAATGAGTCATCTTAGGGTCTCAGGACTACTGCTCACCACCCTCCAGGGCCGAGGAGAGCAAAGGGGGTCAAATTGCTTAGATCAGCTTCATCCCAGCCCAGGGGTAGGACACAGGGGTGATCATCGGCAGGCACCCCCCCTCCCCGCCAGTGCTCGCTGCTCCCTAAACTGCAAGTCGGAGCCCAAACCCTGTGAGCTAAATGCAACCCCCAAGGAAGAAAGGGAACAGGCATTTAAAAGAGTTTTTGGATAAGGAATTAAGAGTTATCCAATCACCCTGTCAAGATTTGAAGTCTTGGCTTCATGCCGAGATGGAGTTGCTGGGGGAAGCCTGTATTCACAGCCCGTCCAAATCCCATGGCCCTACATGGAGTAAGCAGGCTTGCCTTGCCTACAGACATCTCACATCCTGGATTCCACTTGCTACTCGCCTGAGACAGGCATGGGAATTGTTCCACCCACCCTCTCATCCTGGCATGCCTGGGCTGCCAATGGGATTTGAATTCTGATCCCGAAGGATTGCCGAGGGGCTGGCATTGGGAAACTGTGATAGGGTGATGCGGATGCACGTTCCTTTTGCGGTCTTTTGGACACTGAGGTCTTCGGCTAAGGGACTGGAGAACTCCCGGGGCTCTTCTCTATCGCTTAAGAGTCTGGGACCCTAAACAAGGAGAGGTTAGGGAGGGGGTTAACTACTCACCACCCTCCGGGGCTGAGGAGAGAGCAAAGGGGTGCAATTGCTTAGACCTCCAGCTTCACCCCAAGCCCAGAGCTCCTAGGCGTAGGGGTGGCCGTTGGCCGCAGGCAACCCCTCCAGGCCCTCCGTGCTCGCTGCTTCCTAAACTCCTACAAGTCCGAGCCCAAACCCTGTGAGCTAAATGCAACTAGCTTGGGGGTAGGGGTGTGTGTGGAGGAAGGAGACAGGGTGTGTGTATGGGGGGGGGGATGACATCACGGGGCGGGCCCCCTCGATCTTTACCCCTGTGTGTGGGGGGAACCCAAGCTACCTACTTCTCTAATGCAGGATCAGGGACCCCCCCAATCATACTAATGAAGAATTTTGGGACGCCCATCAAGACTAAGATGCAAAGTGTCTGAATGCTGAGCAGATTAATCGACAACTTGACGTTTCCAAAGCCCCAGTGGGGTCCCCACGCACCCCCAGGTCCAGCTTGGTTTCTCCCACTTCCCAGAGAATTGGAGTATTGTCTTCTCTGGAGCACCGGGTGGTCGGGATCCGGGATGCGGGGCAGGGTTTTTACCCGTGCTGGTGGGGGTGCTCATGGGGGGTGGAAACTTGCGGAGCAAGACGGGCCTGGCAGGGACAATGACAGAACTGTAAGGCTTCAGGAGGGAGTCTAGAGGAGAGGAGCCACACGGGTCTGCGGAGGGGTCGGGGCGCGCGCGGGCGTCGACCCCCTCCGAGCTTGCTGTGTACATGAGATGCAAAGCAGCCTGCCGATGAGCGCGGGGTTCTGCAACCCTCGGCTGGGTTCGGAGCCCCGGGGAGCGGCGCTCGGGATCCCCTGGCCGCACTGCATGGCCCGGCGCGCGAGCTGCATTCACAGGGGGCGGGACCAGGGGTTTGGGAGCGGAGGGTCGTGTGCAGGCAGCCGGGGGGCTTGCTAAGTCCGGGGCGCGCGCGCACACACACACACACACACTCTTCCGCTCCGGCCGGACAGCCGAGAGGGCAGGGTCTGGGCCCTCGGCGTGCTCCCGCTGCCTGCAAGCCACAGGCGATGTGCGGGTCGGCGGCGGCCCTT